GTTGCGCGCTGGGCAAAGGACGCCAGGACAACTACAAGAAACAACAATCACGACAACCCATCATTCAAGTAGATTTTGCCTACATCAAATCACTACAGGACAACCTACAAGCATTGATCTTTGTGTGCGGAAGAACACGAGGGATACTACAAAACGACAACGAAGACACTCTCAACGCACTACTGAAAGCCACGGCGTCCAAAGTCGACTCACTGACAGTACGACACTCACCGTCTTACAGCAGCAACAGTCAAGGAAGCGTTGAGCGACTTGAGCGACTACACAGAACACTTCTTGGACAAACACGCGTCGTCAAAGCACATCTTGAGAGCAACTACAGCGTGAAAATGTCCACAAACACTCTCTCTACATTGGATAGTACGACATGCAACATGGACCGTAAATCGCTACGTCATCCACTCCGACGGCTTCGAAAGCCGCTGGGGAAGGAACTACGAGCGAGCAACTTGCGAATTTGGCAAAACACACCTTTACCTTCCACCACAACACATGAAACTTCCGAAAGCCGATCTCCGAATGCAGAAAAGCATATGGCTCGGAAAAGCTTCCAGAACAGGAGAAAACTACGCCGCAACGGACAAGGTGTACCAAAAGCAAGTACGACGACTACAACCGACTTCAAATATGACTTTGCGTTACTAAACAAGGTCTCCGGTACACCTTGGGCACCACAAGGCAACACCTACAACCCGTTGTTCGCAGCACTGTCTTACGCACAACTTCAGTTTTCGGAAAAAAAGACACGAACTACACAAGACGCCGGACAACAGACACATGTCGCAGACGACATCGTCACGGAACCCGCAACGAAACAACAACGCGCTACGCCACCTCGACAACTTCCGTCAACCTCTACGCCAACTTCACGACCGCTACCGGATAGCCCCATGGCTACTTCACCGACAGGACGACAACATCCACCGCTACAAGCACCCCCGCATCGACAAGCACTACGACGTGTGACTCCGGAAAAAGTGATGCAACCAACCAAACCCCAAAAGACTTCAAAAGACGCTACAACCAGATCAACGGAAGAAGCAACCAAAGAACCACAACCACTAGGACAAAGAATCAACGCAGCAACACTTTCCAACGGAACATCCCGTAACCTCCTACACAAAGGACAACACTACACAAGACCAACCCATAATCTTCGACGACGAAGGTTACGACAAAACACGACTTGTGAAAGAATGAAACACGAATCCAACCGAATGAAACTACATGACGTCTTCGACGAAGTAGATGCGTCTACACTCAATGACGACATCATCAGGGAAGCAATCCCTACAAGACGGGTCCACAGAAAGAAAAGACCAGGAGCGCCGCGAAGCAGAATCGTCGCAAAAGGCTACACCAACAAGATCGAGGACGACGACTCCGTCTACGCTTCTACACCGATGTTTACAACACTACGGACACTTCTTGCACTACAGATGTCACGACCGAACTGGGTAGTACGATTGGGCGACGTCTCTACAGCGTTCTACATGCACCCATCGCAAACGGCAACGAAGGCAAACAACGCGGCATCTACCTCTGGCCCTAAGGAACTATGTCCACAACGGGACAAACTACGGCGGCTAAAGAAAGCCATGCACGGACTACGCAGTCGCCAAAAGCTTGGCAAGACTACGCTTTGTCAGACTAACGTCAGAACCAAGCGTCTACGCCAATGCGGCTCGTGACTGCTGCATCGTGGTCTATGTGGAGGCCTTTTGGCGCTTGGCGAGACCACTGTCAACCCCACCTTCGAGGCAATCCAGAAGCAGGTACTCACATCGGCTGCCTCGATCCTGGCAAAGCACAACAATTTGTGGCAACAAACAGCGAGCACTTCGGCAACTACTGCGCCATTGGACTTCAGGACTCCTACATCAACAACACGATCGATGAGACTGGAATGACCAACTGCAACGCAGTGACAACCCCAGGAATTGCCCACTACAAACCAACATTACAAAACAACTACTCAACCACGAACAACACAAAAGGTTGTTGGCAAGCTACCATGGTTGGCCTACACAAGGCCAGACATTGCCTACGCAACACAGGAACTCGCACGAGACTTCACAGCACCTACAGCACTCTCACAAAAGCGAGTCAAGCACTTACGACGTTACCTGCACCAAACATCACCATAGAACCGAACAACACTGAGAGCAAACACCAACAACATCCTGGACCTCGACGTCGATGCGGACTGGGCAGGATGGATGCCCTACTACAAGGAAACCCACTTCAGGTTTCAACATCAACTTCCTTGGAACAACACTGGATTTGGCAGCGAGACACAAGCTACAATAGCACTGAGTTCAGCAGAATCTCAACTCTACGCAATCTCAGAAACTTCCTACTAGGAACAAACATTTGCAGCAAGCTAAACCTACGCAGTCACACAGACTCCACAGAAGGCAAGGCATTGCTGCGCGGCAAGACAGAAGCAAACGAGCACAACACATCGACCTCAAATTTCTCCACACGCGCACACACACACACACAAGACCTCATCAAACACGACATCATAAGAATCCTCAAGATCAACACGCTTCACAACAGCGCAGATTTGCTCACCACATACATCAGCAAAGAAACACTACAACGGCTCATTCAGAGCACCTTACGAGCGACCACCGCACATCGTTTCACAACCACCCCAACCAACTGTATGTGCCAGCTACATGTCACAGTTTGTACGTCAGCAACAGTAACGCTTTTCTTTTAGGCCACTACAGCCATGGAACGGTTCACAGCTCGGGAGGACGAGGTTGCAATGTCGACTATCCCGGAGGCTATTACACCGGTTCCACTACCGGTGCGCAACTTTGCACAACTACAGGCTCGCATCAACCAGCAACTACAGACTGCTGCAACTACAGCTACCGCAACTCCAATGCCACTCAACTACAACCTCCAAGACATCTACAACTCAGGCGACTTCACGGGAAGCACAAACGATCAATGCCAGCTACACCAACTTCACCCCAGCACGCAAAGCTCTACATCCCACTGGCAGTTGAAGACTTTTGTTTTCTTGCTGCAGGGATAATGACACGACCATCAACTTTCTGCACAACTGCCAATTCAAGGCCAGCTACGCCATTTCCCTTCCAGGCAAACTATAGACCAACATACAATCGACTCCAAATGATGCATACTTGCACATTTCTGTCAAATTGCTACGGCATTTCAGAATGCCATGCAACTACAAACCACATCAACAACTACGTGCTCATCACAGCAGCACTACCCGCTGACAACATCCAGCATCTGCGCAAAGACTCCCTGCATTATTTCATCAGACTACGTGACTCACTCTACATCAGCGACTACACCCTTTTCACAGAGAGAGAGAGAGACAAAAAATGAAAAGCTAGCTGTGGTAAGCTTGCTTCCCCCAGCATCGCAGGGTGAGCGAAGTCACCCTCCGCTTGGAGTTTCAGTAAGGTGCCTAGTGCAACCAAGAAGCTGAAAAATTACAAAGCGGGGAACAGAGGGGCGAGGGACATGAGCCCCACCCCCCAACAATGACAGATTTTAGCTGGGCATTCAATAAATCGAAGCGCTCCGTCCCAAGTGCCTTGCCAACAAAGAAGGGCGGCGCCTGCCCAACAGGCCCAGTAGGGCAAAAGGACTGAGTAGAGCGGCAACAAAAGCGGCACCTGCCCCAGCAGGACAAAGGGGGTGGCCAATCCACTGGTGCCCAGTACAGCGGCACTGGTAGGGCAGCACTTGGCCACAAAGCACGTCCTCCTAGTAGGGCGGCACTTGCCCGTACCAACAAAGGAAGGGTTCAACAAAGGCACTGGCCAGTAGGGCGGCGCTTGGCCAACAAAGGGCGCCTCGTAGGGTTGTGCTTGGCCACCAAAGGGTGGCGCCCGCCCAGTAGGGCGGTTGGCCAACAAAGAGGAGCTGGCGCTCGCCCAGTACGGCGGCGGCACCTGCCCGGGAGGGCAACAAAGGGGGGTGGCGCTCGCCTGGTAGGACGGGCACTTGCCTGGTCGGGCGGTGCTTAGCCAAACAGAACGAAAGTCACGGGGGTGGTCCAACCGCCCAACAGGGCTGAGGGGGAGGGCGGCCAAGTCCCTCCCCCGGGCGCCCCTAAGCCTACCGACGAGTGTCGGCCCGTGACACGGCTCGGGGAACAACTACGAGAAACGCACGCGTTTGCTTTCTGTTTCCAATGTCGCGTGCACATGGGGCCTGGTGAGCTTCACTGAAGCCGCAAGAGCCGGCGGAACATGCCAACGGCGGTTAATATTATATTTAGGCCGCCCCGAAATGTAACATATGTTTGGGATCGGAGCGGGGGAACGAAGAGAAACTGGGCTGTCGCTCAAAGTGAATAACTTCTGGGTCAAATTCAGAAACCAACCACCTTTCACCAGCAAGATTCCTAAGCTCAGGAACCGCATGGGAGCAAAAAAGCCAAAGAAACCACCTCAAAAGAAGCCACCTCATTTTCGGGCCTCTCCTTGGGACAACGGGGGGAGAAGAAAAAAAAGGGGCGCGCCTTCCGAACCCGGGGCCCCGGGCTTTCGACTTCCTCAGCGCTCAGCGCATCCGGCGCTTCCAGGAAGGCCTTCCTGAGTCTCCAAGGTTCTGCCGCGCTCAGCTCCACTGCTTGGAGCAATTGCACACAGCCGCACAACAAGAAATATGCACCGCTATCCAGCCGCGCACAGCAAGAAATATGCAAGGGCGCTATCTGCTTGGTCACCCCTTTCATGGATAAACGTCGCCTGGCGGTTTCCTTTATTCGGGAATCCCCATGAACCGTTCGGGTTGGATGGTGTATAGGGGCCATTCCATTTCTCATTCCAACTCGTGGTTTCCTTGAAGATCCCTTCCGGTTCATTCCCTCAGGGACCCTGCATCTCTCGCAACAAAGTAGTGGTGGGAATTTGGTGGACATGAGTTTCAACCAACATGAACCCTCTTGGTGGGCATGAATCCCAAAACGATGTAAAATTCCCTGATTGAAACTCTAGTGCCCAGGGACGCGTAAAACTGGGTTCTCTCTCAAAACAGGAGTCGGCCCCCCTTATCATTTGTTCTTCGCTATTCGCTTCTCTCTCTTTTTTTCTCTTCTCTTCTCTTCTCCTCTATTCTCTTCTCTTCTCTTTTTTATCTTGTTTTCTCTTCTCTTTTTTCTTTAAATACCAACCAAAAACGAAGGGCTCTGAATCCCATGGAGCGAAACTCCGTCGGGAAAGGAGCCTCCGCCAGTGGCATCCCCCACGCTTCGTCCGCAAATCAGTCGTCCGTTGAGTGGCCGGGCTTAAACATGTAGCAGCCAAAACGGAGTCGTGGAATGGAAAACTGGATCATGGAAGCATGCCTCATTTGATCCACCTTGGAAGGAACCCCCCAAAAAAAAACACATCCCCTCATCAAACCCTCCCAAATCTCCTCAAACTCCCTCAAACCTCCTCAAACCCCCGCAAACCCCTCAAACCCCCCAACAAGTACATTGTTTTGAAAGGAAGGTCTTTGTTACACGTTGCGAGCAGATGTTGAAGTACAGATGGCTAGCTTGACAGATAGCTAGATATTTACTGTTAGCTAGCTTGACAGCTGGTTGGCTTGGCAAGGAGCTAGCTTCACAGGTAGATAGTGTGGCAGACAGCTACGAAGCTTGACTGGCAGCAAGCCCGGCAAATGGCGAACTTGACGAGAAGCTAGCTCAATAGAAAGCTCACTTGACTAACTTGACTGACTTGATGGGCAGATAGCTTATCACATAGCTATCTTGACAGACAAATAGCTTGAGAAGTACCTAGACAAAGAGATAGCTTTGCAAGTAGGTGGCTTTGGCAGGTACCTAGCTTGACAAGTAGCTAGCCTAGCAGACTTGACACATAGCCACAGAATGACAAGTAGATGGATTCGAATGTAGCTAGCCGGACAGAATAGCTTGACAAGTGGATAGAAAAACACAAATCTGCACTCTGGTGAAGCCATGCCTGCTTTAGAGCCCGTCAGGCCTGTGCCCTGCTTGAACAATAAGATTGTCCCTTTGACTCTTCGATTCTCCGAGCTCTGCTGCATGCTTAAGCAGACCAGCAAGAAACAATGAACAAATAGCAGAGCGGAAAGGTCGAAAGCAACCTTCGGCTCATCCCACGTAGAACATTAGCTAGCCATGTCTGCACTAGCAAATGTTAAACAAAAGCCATGTCATAGAATCGAATGCACCAAAGCAGCTCGAGAGAGCTTTTGAGACGCTTGCTGCGCGGATGCGCAAAGAAGTCTGGAAACTCTGCTAGCCATTCAGCAACGCAGTAATGGAGGCGTGCGACGAGTGTGCGACCGGCACAGAGCAGTCGCGCAAGTGTGCTTATCATTTGGCTGGCATGTGACATGCCATGTGGTCGGCACTGAGTAACACAGCGATGTCCAGGGCGGTGGGCAAAAGTGTGCTCCTGTTTGAACTCCAACATGCGCATGGCACGGTACCCACTCACGCAGTCTTCCGTTCCACACCGGCGCCACCGTCCAGCTGCGTCATATATTTGTCGGCCTAAACATGCCTGAACTAAAGGTTCTTTAACCGAGTTGTGGGAACCAAAACGTCAACTAGCCCCCTATATTTTGGGGACCGGAGTGGTTGATCGTCGGCATTTCAAAAAACTTAGCGTGTAGCCCAACTGGAATTCTGTTGGGCCATAAGCCAAAATAATATTGGCTGACCAAAAGAAAAAATACTGGGCCGAGGTTGGACAACTTAATACGCTTGTGTTTTAACTATAGTGAGGTCATCAACCTCACACACCATGCAGGTCACACTACATGGCTTGAACACCCAACAACCCGCCAATCGTTTCGTTCAGGGCAGCTAAAAAAGCAAACAAAGCGGCCTTCCTACTCTAATTCCTGGCATATGAGGTGCTGATCGATTCGTTGACTGACATCTGAGCGACCATTGCCCAACTCACGGACGCAAACATACATAATTGATCCTGGTGTCTAGCGAGTGAATCGTCGGCAAGATTCTCCTATGAATCGCCTATGAACCCTACAGACTGGCTTTAAAGTCAAGCGCAAGCACCTTGAAAAGAAGTCATTCAGAAATTGGGAGGCTGAGATTGCCAAAATCAACTAGGCTGCAACCGCATTTGCTGCGCTCGCACTGGAACCCATAAATCTTCGTCTTGTGTGTCAGAGCCGTGATATGGTTGGACAAACGAACAAGCGGGGATACGGAGGGAGCGCGCGATTTCCCATATCAAGCTTAGTCAAGGTGCATTTAGGGGGAGTCCTCCCGTATCCCTGGTTCCCCCCTGTACCCCTGCTAGTTGGTTTCCCTGACTTTGGTTGCTTTCTGCACCCCTGCCAAAAGCTTAACTTCCAGTGGATCCATGTGGAAAACCCTCTGAGTTGGCAAAGAGCCAAAGGTCCCAACAGCCCTCGGCAAACTGCTTTTGGATTCGGAATCCCAAGCGGCTGGAAGGGCGGCAGGTGCTCGGTCCGCCGCGCCTGCCGGAGGGCGACATCCATCCGTTTCGCCCTGACATCCGAAGCCCTGAAGGATGCGAGTCCCTAGGTCCGCCACTAGAAGTAGAGAGGCGAGAATAGGGGTACCAACTTTTTTGCAGTTGTCTATTTTAGTAGGGGAAGCCTCCCCCAAAAAAGTTGGTAAAAGGGCACTACTGGGGTAGTTCCCCTGCAAATACCAACAAACAATGGTTTTTGTCATGGTGTCTCAGGTGGTGCAGAATGGATTGCGTCCATCCACAATAGGGATGATTGATAAGCTATCAAGGCGGAAGACTAGAGACTGAAACCCTTGTGTGTGTGCACCCTATGTTCTTCCAAAAGCGGGGGGAACTGCCGACGGCTTTGTACGATGGATTCACTTTCTCGCGCCAAACGCACTCGAGGCTCGAGCCGATCTCGGCGAGTGAGGCGAGTGGTATAAATGAGCCTATAAATGCTATGTACAAGAGATCGAATCTCCGTCTCTGCGTCTGCGGGCTAGCAATGCTGGCGCCTTAATCAGAAACCCAAACCTCCAGCGCGTGTCCTTTTTGCGGGGGAGTGCTGAGTTTCGAGGACTCCCTCTCACAAACAGGAAAAGTGTACCCCTGGAGGTTTGGGGAAACAGGGCTCCTGAAAAGACACATGGGGCTCCGATTCAACCGGCAGTCCTTGGAGTAGCTTCAATTTGGGCGAAGCTTCGGGTTATGGCCCGGCTTCTTTTCAGGAACCTTTCTGCTTCTTCGGCGGAAGACGCGCGGCCCTAGGGGCGAGGAAGCCGGTTTATGCAGAACCAAACCCCCTTGCTCCGGCAAGAACCGCAATGGGTTCCGCCCAGGCGTGCTGGAAAGTGTTTAAGCCTTAGCGTGGCACCAGAGTGGTTGCTTCCAATCCATCCGCATGAATCTACAACACCCTCACTCAAGCTCGCACGGGGCCTCTGTGGGCGCACCTGGTTTATTTGGGGGGGATCAGGCCCAAACACGGCAACACACATGGCCATGGGTCAAATAAAATGGATGGTGAATTCACCTACCAACCAAAATGGGATCCCAAAACGGTTTTGACCCACAGCCACATGTGCACAAAGGGGAATCCATGCAACGCCACGGCCCTTTCACTCTCCGAACCCTGCGATGTCGATGAGCGCGCACTGGCCCATGCCTCGGACAACTCGGAGACTGGCCCGTGCAAACTTTGGTTCAGTACGCAAACCCCGGGTCTCCTTGTTGTTAAGGAACTCCTAATTTAAAGAATCCTAAAAAACCCGAAACACATTCTCCTTATTCTCCTTGTTGCTAGGGGACTCCTAAAAAATCCTGAAAATATCGTTCAAACAATACCCTCCCATCAATTAACATGGACCCGACCGAGAAATGGCCCCTCTAAAAGGAAAATGATCCAAACCAGGACCCCACGAAACGTCGAACGGCTCCATGTGAATCGCCGGGAGGGTAGCGGCTTGAGCATGTTTAAACGTATTTGAACAAGGGCTTTGTCCACTCCTGGGCCAAACTAACTAACCAAAGGAAGCCCCCGAAACTAGTTCCCATTTCAAACGAGGCCCTCAAGATTCCGACACTCGGCCTGAATTGAAGTTGGCCCTTGATCTTGTTGCGTGTCTCCCAAGTTTCCTGAAACTTGGGGCCAAAGGGCTGCTTTGAAACATTCGGAGGCTCACCCCTCACGCCAAAAGAGTGGTTGGCCCCGAATCCAACACGCAAATGGCTCAAGCAAGAGCCCGCGCACGATTCACCCACTGGACATGGAATGGGTCAGAACTCATTGGTCACCACCAAATGCTCGGGATTCCTCCTTTTCACTCCTTTTGCACTCATCCCACAGCTGTTGCCATGGATTTTCAGTGCCATTTTGAAGGCGAGCCGGGCCCAAAGACTTGAGAGCGCACTTGGTTGAGTAAACAAAAGTTTGGTGTGACGCTCAAAGCAAAAAGGGAGTGAACACGACCAAGGGTGGACCAAATGCACGACTTGAGATGGATGAAGCTCTGTGAGTAGGACCAGCCACCTACCGCAAAGGTTACTTTGTCCATCCAGGGTAGGGTCCACCCCCAACTCAAACCCCAAACCCCGCCTTGATTAGCCCATGTCGTTAGTTTACCAGGGCTTGACACTCCCATAGACTGCAACGGGCTCAGCCCTCTCTTTTTGGATGCGTCTTCTTTTGACTCTACCCCTTTTTTTCCGGGGGTTGCTTTTCAGGGAGGCCAAAAGGATACCAGCCGTTCAACTGGTGGTTTCCTTTAAGGGCACATATGGCAGTTGATCAATATTCCTGTTTCCGGAAAACGCCATCTTCGCGAGAAAAAAAGTTTCTTTCGCGAATCTTTCGCGACTCCATCGCCAAGCCCTTTTGTTTGCCCTTTTGTTTGCAGCGTGCGCTCTGGAGCCATTGTGGCTGCTGCAGTTATGCTTGCACACAGGATAGCCGCAGCTCACCTGCGTGCAGTACGTAGTGTTAAGTGCAAGCAGTCACCGTCATTTGCCCTTGCCACTTGCGCTTGCCGATGTGCGGAACCTTGCAAGAAGCTCCCTGGACTTTCGCCGGTCTTTCGCGGATCTTTCGCGAAACTTGCTCCAACATAGCCCAGCCAACGTTATTGATTTGCGCCATTCCTAGCACAGGCAGGGAATCAATAATGCAAGTGTAGGTGCTGCGTATCTCCCTCTACAAGGGAGCGGGGTCTGCAAATATGTAAGTGCACAGGCATGCCTCCAAAAATCCAACGCGGAATCTTTCGCGAAAAAATAAGTTTCTTTCGCGAGCTCCATCGCCGATCTTTCGCGGAGGGATTTAAGCCAAGACGAATGGTCACCGAATACATAACTCCTTGCAAGGACCTTTTGATCAACCCCCATATGGGTTCATTCCATTTCTCATTCCCTGTCCATCGCACCGGCAAGTTTAGAACCGTTTTGGGGGTTGGTTGTTGAGTTTGCCTGATTCTCCCTTTTGGATGCCGTCTTCTTTTGAGCCTACCCTTTTTTCCAAAAAAGCCAAAACGATAACCTGCCGTTGTTGGCTAGGTCCTCCAGTAGAGAGGTTAGAACAAGGGTACCAACCTTTTCAGTAGTCTATTCTAGTAGGGGAACCGAATCTCCCCCAAAAAAGAACAAAAAACGTCACCAATTGCTGGGTGACCTAGTTGCTAGGCTGGAATTAGGACCCCAGCAAAAAAATATCCTTTTGGCCTGGTTACTGGAAAACAAAGGGGACCCCAAAAAAGCAAAAAAGGAGAAAGGGGAGCTAATTCTGGGGATGGTTGGGGTTCCCTGATTTCCAGCACCGAGCCGCTGGAGCCGCCTACGGCGGCGCCCGATGGCCTGGTCCAGTGCCCGATGGCCTGGATGCGGCGCCCCACGATGCGGCGGCTGTAGAAGGCGAGGACATCGTCCAGCTCGGAGCCCTCGTCATATCCGCCCTCGCCTTGGCGGAGGGCGAATTTGCGGCCGTAGAGGGTCCCCTTTTTCCTCAATTTGTGTTGAAGTCTCCTGGAAGAAATGAAAGATTCCAGTAGTCATAGATTCCCTTTAAAGCTAATAGGGGAAAATTGAACATATTCTTGGGCAAGTGGAAGTGCTTATCAAGCGAAGGAATAAAATGGTTGGGGCTGGGGATAAAAAAAAAGCTCGAAAATCGTAAGGCTCATCCAACGACAACACTGCAAAGCACCTAGCTTCTGAAAAATTGAAAGTCGGAAAATTTAGAGGAAAGATCCACCTGGAGAGTGCGGAAACCGAAGATCTTGGCTTCCCTAAACCAGCAACAAGGGGTAGCCTCACCAAACAAGGACCGAGCCACCCGTACGGGCGGTCAAATTACGAGAACGTTCCCCCAGGTCCTCTGCTCGCCCCGGGGTTTTGGTGGCAGACCAAGTCAGCGGGTGAGCTCTCCCGACCGGATCCCTCCCACGACCATAGACCTTTGCAAGGTTTGACCGAACCTGTGACAATCAAAACCTGGCAAATAAATGGGTCGATCTCCGCCATGCTTCAAGAATGAAAAAGGCGAAGGCGCGCCCATTTTTGGTTGGTTGGGAGTATACCTTAACCTTCATCTACCAGTCAGGACAAGTTCCTGTTCAAGTAACGACAAAAGAAGACCTCAAGAAAAGCAATTGTCTGAAACAACCGATCTGCACATTCCGTGGCAAAGCACCCCCTCCAAAAAACCTGAGGAATTGAGCGCGCAAAGCTAGCCGCCAGCTGCGCAGACACCCACGCTTCCTGGCTTTCAAATTGCCAGGGTGCGAAGGCCCTGTGGCGCCAGCAGTTCCTGCTGCCACGGCTCCTGGTGCCATTTTTCCGGCTCGGACGCTCGGATGGGCCAGGTGTCCGTGCCCAAAAAATGGTCCCATCTATTGGAAACCCAGACGTATGGTCGGTCGGCTATTTGTGGTTTAGGATGCAATTGTTTAACAAAAAAATAAACTGGGGGTTCATACAAGGGCTTCAAACTGCAGGTTCTCAAACTAAACATCCCACCAAAAGTGGTTTTCGAGGGAAAACCAAAAGGAACACCGAAGTCCATTTTTGGGCCAGATTCCTACAAAAAAAAGCCACCCATTTTGGCGGCAACTCCCATGCGAGTCACAATCAAAACCTGGTACTACAATGGCCTTCCCAAAACCATCTAGAAGAATTAACAAGCCGCATGCCCGCACCCATTTACGGCTGGGATTATCCCTTACTAACCTTTTTTGGCCATCTACCCAGGTGTTTTGTTTTTGGGTGGTGCCCTTGGTTGCCCACATGGAATCACCGGGCCTTGCCAACCACCTTATCCTGGCTACGGGTTCGGGGACCTGGCGCCTCTGTCGCTGTGAGTCCAAACCCAGAACCACGCGAAGAATCGAGAGGCAGCCGTTCTGGCAAGGGAGGATCAATAAAATCGTTGGGGTGAGAACACTCGATTATTGTAAGGCTCATCCAACACCAACACTGCAAAACACCTACTACAACTTGTGATTGGTGACTACC